TTATTATTATTATTATTATTATTATTATTATTATTATTATTATTATTTGTTCCATGTTTGACGATTGGAGGGATAGAATCTAAGAGGTCTGTTTCATTTATCGAATATTACAAAATAAATGTCATATTTCAGACATTTTATGTATCTTTCTTATGTATCTTTCTTATATAAATATATTTTATTATCCACGTAGGATCTGACAGATATTACATTTCTTTATTACAAAAAATTCAAGACAAATGCCTCTTTTAGAAAGTCTCCCTTTTTTAAGTTTATACTACTATCAAAGCCAGGACAATTGGATTCTGTTTCTAGGTTAACAAATCTCTTTAATGATTCTCAATTCCTGCTGAAGCTTAAATCGATTAGAACAATGTGTCCTATTTTCCACTGGTAATTATCTAATTCATCTAAATTTAATTATTTGTCATATACGTACGTACGTACTATTTTCAGTTATATCGTGAGCTAGTCGCACTAAATAAATAAATAAATTATGACACATGTTATTCTCTACTTTTCTCATTCGCCCATTCTGTGCATCATTGCAGTTTCAAATTTTTCGCAAATAAATAAATTATAAAATACATTCCTTTTGTACGCGTACAGCTTTAAATTTTAATTAAATAAATGATGTGCCTGGTGCATAAAAATCCGTGTAAAATCTAATTATCACTCGCGCGAAGGAAAATTATACATATCTATACGCGAACTCGTTTCCATAGAAATCTATTACCAACATTTTCTCCTACGTATCCTTCTCGTAAGGACTGGCTCGCGAAAGAAGGGCTCGATATCGGTCACCCTTCTGTATCCGGTGTACCAAAGGTAGGGTGAACAGCCGGAGAAGTCGTGACAAGTGGTTGGCTGGTTGCCACATACCGTTCAATAACGCCGCAAAGTGTAACATACCGTGGAACGTTTACACGGGCGTTTCTGCGGTAGCTACTTGACGCGACACCGCTAATGGAAACCATCCGGATAGTTCTCAAAGTGTTACAATCCGTTTGTTGAACACCGTTCGAAAGAGTTCAGCTCGTTTCAGCATCCTTTGGCAGTCTCATTTCTCATTCGCAACAATGGCCGCGCGAGCCACGCGAATAACCTTTTAAGATGTTTCGCCATCATAACTCGAACCAAGTTTCGGAGCCAAGAAGTCGCTGAGAAGTTTCCAGCTCTTCGTATCTTCGCTTCGAGTGGCTTTCTTTCGTTGGCACGAGTAGATCTCTTTCGAAGCCGCACGAGAACGATTAACAAACGGCGTAGAAAGCATGGAGAACTACTACTTTAGTCTCGAAAATTCGTGACCTACAAAGGACATTTGTCTACCACTTCTATTCGCGGTGGTTATCGATCACGCCGGAGCACGTCGGTTGCCCTTTACCCATCGGAAAACACACATGCACACACGTGTATACATGTGTGTCGGAATCGGACCAGACGAGATTATATTGGTTCTCTCTCGGTTTCGAGACAGAGTGCGTTAACCGATCGATCGTTTTACCGAAACGATGGACGTGGATCCTCCGTCCTGGCGTGGAGTTCTGCGGGTTAACAGACCACGTTAGACGCGAGGGAAAGAAGGAGAGAGAAAAAAAAAAAAACAAGGCCAGCCCTTTTGCTCGAACGCGATCCGATAAATAGACGATCCGGAACAATTGGGGGCTGCGACGCGGGAAAAGATCGAACGTAGGGTGAAAAGCAAACGAGGGTAGGTTACCTACATATGTATGTATGTGCGAAGAAGAAACACGAGCAAAGGAGAAAGAACTTACTGGGCCTATCGTTGTCGACATTCTCCTTATCGGCACTGTACGTTTGACGTTGGGAATGATGGTGCTTGTGATGACGACGGTGTCTCCTTTCGCCTGGCAGATGCACGCCCACATACACCGTGTGCGCTCTGTGACCTGGAAGCAGATGAAAGAGGACTCGGCGTCAGTGGCTCTCGAATCCGACGTTCCGTGACGTTCCTATGATTATCGGTAATAAAACATTCTATCGAGCTCTCGACAGAGAGAGAAATTCATCGGTCGAGGACACTCGAGGTGTCTCCCCTATGTATATCTTTGACCGTCGACCGACAGACCTTCGTCGTCACGTTGCCTCTTTCGACCCGACGTTTCTTAACCCTCGCTCAGCGGCTGCAGGGTCACTTAGACTCAATAATTTTCGCTTCTCTGTTTCTGTTAGCTGTTAGGAATGTTCACGTTGCTACATTAGCATGTGTTGAACCAATGATCTACCGATGGTAAATGTAATGCAAAACGACACGTACAGTAATTTTACGCACAAATAAATATTATGCATGTATATTATTATTCCTCATTAAATACTCATGTAATATAATTCACTAAGTGTCATTATTATACATGCACAACACAATTATATGTTTATATGCAATATTACACATGTATACATAGAACAACAAATTGTATATAAAATTACCAATTATTTATTACGTGTTGTAGATAATATTTTGAGCAATAATTCCTTCCCATCTTTCCAGCTCTTGTTACTAAGAATCAAATTGACCTGCATTCGCCCGGCATTCGAGAGTCCAATCTGCGTTAGTCAACGTAAACAGCTACGAGTTCGCCGGATAATCCGAATCGATTCGATCGTCTGTAGAATGTCGACGGTTCAAGATCGCACCGGGACAGGTGACCTCGGGCCCTGACGTGGACGACATTGCTCAACGAAATAACGATTTTCGAAGCACCGGCAACGCGTTCTATGAGCAAACACCGAAGCCAGATCTGTGTAGATCAGTCCGGCTGACCTACGCGCGAACAGCAGCCATCATCCTGGCCTGATTAAATCGTACAGGGAACGTAGAAGTGCGAAAGCGACTTTGGACGATCGACGAAAGCCTCTTTTGAGATGATGAGAATGAAAACGGAAGTGATATCGATACCTTCGTAGTCTTTTTCGGTGTAAGATTGATGAGTGATCCGAACACCGGGATCTTTCGGAGCCTCGTCGTCACCTGTCCCACCTGCGTGGGCCGCGCCACCTCCACCCGGCTGCATCCACGGTCTAAAAAAAATAAATCGAACGCACACGTGAAACCATCAAATGATTATGGTGATGAGGATTCTTGGAAAAACCAGTCTGTTAAGTTTCTCGAGAGATAGTCTGTTCGTTCGTACCGATTACGGCAACGAACCGAAATTTCATCTCTGTTGCTAAATAAATCTGTTAATGGCAAAAATCTGCCGTTTCCAGAGTTTCTTATAGCGTTTTGTTCTTTTATAAATTTTTTAATATATAAATGATGTTTCAGTAACTCGTTTTGTTGATTAGAATTGACAATTACGTTTAAAAATGGTTTCGCATAATTGTATCATACATTTACATTATAAAGAAAGAAATTATCTTCATAAAATCATTGAAAACATTAGTCATAATTTCATAATTTCACAAAAAAAAAAAATATTTTTTTGAAATACAAAAGACGGTTCTGAAATTTTTTTTAACATTTTTACTATTAGAGACAAAATTGGGAACACTCTCTTCATTAGTTGAAGAATATATTCTTTCACATATATTTTTTACTCCATTTGTATGAATTAATTACAAAAATTGACAATACAGAGCCTCTGCTAATTGCAAGAGTTCAAAGTAATTTATTAATTTCTTCAGACTGAAAAAAACTGATTTTGTCTTAGATAGATGCTAAAATATCTCTCTTGGAGGGGAATGAAATTTGGACACTTTACTCAATAGTCTTGGTCCTTCGCGAACGAATTTACCTTGGTCGGTCGCAATGGCAGCGACACGTTCGAAAATAAATTTCCTGTCGGCTCGTTATCGAAGCGGAATCCGCGTGAACGCGATAACGACTCGTCTGGTAGCACTGGCGGCGCTCGAATACACGACTCTCGACGAGAGAGTGACCGATAACGTGTAAATCGTTCCCCCGAATTCTCATCTTTCAGCGACGTTCATGAAGGAAAAACGCGCGTGGGATTGCGAAATAATGCGGGCACGGCCGTCTGCTACGGCTGTTACCGGCGATGCACACGCGATTTTATAATAATTAAACTTCCTCCGCGGGAAGTACGTTGTTCATGTCACCGCGCGAGCACACGCACGCATCCTTTTATCTTCTCGCTTATCTTTTATCGAATCTTCGAGCATTACATTTTTGCACGAAATGCTCTATCCTGCATGGAAAACGAAGACGCTAACAAAACCATTGAATACATAGTGTTACTCATTGAAATTATTATATGTAATATCAAAACATTATGCTTGTTAATGTTCAATTTAGAGAAATTTAAAATTTAAAATTGAAACTGAAATCTCACAGGATCGTAATTTGCTTTTCCTTCGAAATTGAATCATAACTAGTGCCACGAGTACGACTTTATAAGATAAAGGATTAATTGGATTTTAATGCACCGATGCATCATGTTAGACAGCCTCAGTTATTTCACTTATCGTATTACTTCCTCAGATTTATTCATATCGTTCAGAACTTGCAATTTAGCCAATAATTTTTCCGACAAATTAAACTTCCTTTCCAGCTTATTTAAAAGTTGTTACTTAAGATAGTATTATTTCATATTATTATTAAAAATATATTAAAAAAATTTGATAGATTTACAGATATATATGTTTTTAGATTGCTTGAATGATTTTTCGTAAAATATGTAAATACAGTGGGACTAATTGGTTCTAAAACCTTAGTTTTTTAAAAATATTTTTCTCTTTTTGTTAAATTTCTTTGATACAAGTCTTATGCTTCAATCATCAATAATTCTAATGTTAGTATTATCTACTATTTGCTTCTTTTTTTTCCCCCATATATGTGAAATAAACGAACAAACGAGAGATCATTCCTATCAGATCATTCCTCAGAATCCATACTTCGTCGCGTTTTTTAATTACGTATGTACTACGAGCAGCTACGTTGATAATAATGCTCGACCACGCATTTGCGAAACAATGAGAGGGAGTTCCATGCATTTCTGTAACATGCGATCCATTTTACTTGTCTCTCGTGTTTCATGTTCACGTTGCGACGTGTGATTTTCGTGATGTCAAGTGGAAACAAGCGTAACATCCGGTGTTCCTTAAAGGAACTCTTGTTATCGAGCCGACGACACTAACGAGCCGGAGTAAAAAAAAATTGCATATCATTAGCTGTCATGTAAATTTTAACGTAGGCAATAATTGAATAGCTAATAGTTGTCACGCGATGTGTATAATCGACATGTGCGACTACAGGTCTGATTGTTATTCCGGAGCACGTTCGCCGAGTTTTGTGTCGCGCAGATGTATCTCGTAAAATCGCGGCTCCTTTAGCCATGTGGATTCTACTGACGCGAAATCAATTAACGGTGATAACTGTAACAGAGATGATGATACCGATCAATAGACGAGAATTTACAAACGTTACAGACAAGAAACTTAACGATCCATCCGATTTCTATACACGATCTCCGTTTTACGATGGAAAAGTCGTTCGACGGCCAGATCGCGGATATTTATTTCGTTTTATATTTTCATGAGTATAATTAAAAAAATTCATTTCATCTACTACGTATTTTGTACATTGTTGTATGAGTCTTCAGTTTCCCAAGATGCGTATTTTTATATCATAAACGCATAACATATTTCATTACGTATTTTTGCATCTATTGATCATTTATTTTCCATCTTTTTCTCGTGTATCGAGAAAAAGTAATAAATCGCTTTAACGTCGTCGTAAAAATAACGAGGAAATTCATTTGTAAGCAACGGATGCAACGGCTAAAAGGCTATTAAAAAGCACATGAAGACGTATACATGTTACAACAGTTGGCCGCGAAAGAACGTAGTGCAGAAATGCAATCGATTATTCCGTATTTACCATATGCATTTTATATCTGCACTTTAGTACTAGACCAATAAACGTCCAATATTTATTCTCGAACGGAAAAGTTGAGTCGGGGAAAATAAATTGAAGTATATAATTAACTTATCATTCGATATTGAGGAACGATAATAATTTAAGTTTTATTTTATAAATTGCTTAATTTGGGAATTTTTAATTATCATTGCTAAATCGTATCACGGAGAATGAAAAACACAGAATAAACGTAAATGCTCAAAATTTTATTAATTATACTATACAAGAGAGTTAGGATAAATAAAGTTACGTTTTAATATGCAAACGTGTCAGTTAGCGATCGATATCCAATAAATAAGATTACTAGATAAATTAATTAACCAATGTACTAATAATATCGATGTTTTCTCTGGATATTAAATATATAGCTAGCTATAATACATACCTACAAATAACAATATTGTTTTCCTATTTTTATTTTTGTATTCACTATTGCAATTTAATGGACTTGTCCGTTTAGTAAAAAATAAGTAAATGGATTTTAACAAACCGTAAATTTATAGGAAATTTTAAAAATAAATTATACAAATTACACGTTATGTGAGAGATTATATGAAATATCCAAAATATTATGTTTTCTATAACATTTCGTATGTAAAACGATTTTCCATCGAACGTTTTTATTTTTTCAATCATCATCGTGAGTTAACATAAAAATTCTCATTCTAGCAATAAGTATGTATTATGCGGTTATGAATCACTCGGTCATCGCAAAACTCCGTGACATTTTCCAACATACGTATGTACGTCTACGATAAAACGATTATCGCGGACGCAAGTTGCATTTAAATACAATCGTCAAACGAAGATACGCAATTAACTATTCGCAACCGGTTTCTTTATTACACGGGTATACAATGGCTCATGGAAGTATTCGAACCATAGACATTTTGAAGTTTCATTAACACTGCAATATAAAACGCGACTGTAAAATCTCAAACTAAAAATGTATATACAAGTTAAAAGATATATTAAAAAAAAAAAAAATGGATATAACCACTTTAAACAAGTTAAAATTGCTTTCACCGAATATGGAGACTCATGTGTAATGGATTGTGATGTATTTAAATAATTTTTAAATATCTCTGCATAGAGATACAATATATTATTTATTTTAAATATCTTAGATTAGATCTTTAAATTAAATATCTTAGAACTTCTATATGAATTTGAATTTGTTCTAAATTTAATAATTATAATAAAAAGTTGAATCTTACACATATAATATATTCATAAAAAGTTTCTAAAAATAGTTCGAATACTTTTCTGAGCATGTAGACATGATACATGAAAACTTCGTATCAAGGAAATGTATTCACCGAATACACCGAAATAGTAGGATCGTGAGAACCGATCGAAATTTCGAACAAATCTAATACAATCGAGGAAGCTTCTTCTAATCGAGGCCGATTGCCCGGAATGTCAAGATCGCGATAAATGTCGAACCGGTCAGCCGAGGATTACCAGCCGTCAAGTAGATAATTACACTATGATTATCAACGTTCCGCCTATGTGTATGTATACATGTACATGTAGTTTTACATAATGGTCGGCCCTCTCGTTTGTCGCTTCAACAAAAAGAGAGTGGCATAATAAACGGGGGAAGCACACGATAATTGTTTAATTGTTGGAGGTCAATCTGGTATCCGTTGATATCAAAAGACAAGAAACATAGGAATCTCAGACATCACGCTCTTTATTCTCGTTTGTATAGGAATGTAAATGTATAGAAACATTTTATGAATGTATTAAATTCTGTTATATGAAACACTTTGATATTTTCATGAACTTGTAGTGAGATCCGATTATCATGATTATATTAGTACAAATTTAATTTATATATATATATATATATATATAAATTACAAGATATCTATTTAATAGATATAAATCAATTATTTGGAGCTATACTTATTATATCAAGTCTAAGTATTCAGCAAAATCACCTTTAACACATACTATTCCACTTCTGTGTTTCCAACGAATATCTCTTATCGAAATTCCCACTGTTAAAACATTTTCAGCCCATGCTCCACATTTCACATACCTTATCTAATATTCTATATCTCATATTCGACATCACTAATCCTCATTCCTTGATCCACTTTCTACATTTTTATTCCATATCACGTACAACTTTGATCGTTCAACTTCGAGACTAAACTGGCAATTAATCGATGCATGCAACAATTTCGAAAAAAATCTGTGAATGAAACGCGCGCGATACTCGATGCTAGAAAGCGCAACGAAATACACGACGATCGCTGAACAGCGGAAAGTGCATTAACGAGCGTCAACAACGTCAAATGAAAAAGTCCTTGTGATACGGCATTTTTTTTTTTTTTTTTGCGATTCATCTGCGACAAAGTTGTGCCGCTCGCACGAGCATCGGTCGTGTATAATTGAAATGTAAAGTATAACGATCGAAATAATTGCTCGTTACGAAGAATCGTCTGAACGACCGAGTCGACTATGAGTCGGCTCGATTCGTAGGACGCGTGGAGTATCATAATTGATACAGACTCTTTGTCAAGAATAGAAACGATCTCTAGAATTCCGGTTAATTTCAAAACGTATACACTATCGGCCAAAAATTTTGTGTATGAAATACGTATGATCCTCTAATAGCAGACACTTCTAGTATCGTTAGTGATTTCCTTCTACAGAGTTAGTATTTTAATGCATCTACCGTTGCATAACACAGCCAAAAAATATGCAAGAATTAACATGCAGCGAGATATTAAGAGGGCTATCGTTGGACTCTAAGTTTAAATTAATCTCAGAATACTATAATTTTCTTAACTGTACAATTTTTTAACTAAAAGTCAGAAAAATCTTAACTTAATGATCTACTTTAACGAATTTCTATATATTTATTTAAAAATTAGTATACAACATGAAAAGTCATTTTAAGCACTGGATATTAAAGGTTATCAAAGTAATGCATTTTGAGACTTCTCCGAGATACGCATTCGTGTTAAATATCTAGTAACTTCTACATATGTACTTATAATTTTTAGTTTATTTTGAACTTCATTAATATAATTACAACAGTCGGATACTTACTACAGTGGTAATAAAAAATGTCAATGTGTTTTGTATAACACATTTATATAATATATCCTTAAAATAAATAGAATAGCAATAAATATGCTTGCAGTTGTGATTGTTCAAATAATTTTGCAAAATATATACTCATATTAAATGTCTTGTAGTAATAAATATATAATCTCACCATTAATAAAATGTCAAAACGTTTCACGTAACGCACGTAATGTATTCACGAATATTTTCCTTCGAATATTTTCATAAGCACGTGCGTACTGACCATACAAAGCTATTAAAAAAAAATAATAAACTGTCAGGACGATAGGTGACTTGATATCTTTGATACCGAGATACACGATGATTCCGAACTTCTCTACCCCTGTCGCTATATCTATTAAACTCTATTATTTCTATCATTTCTGTCATTTCCCAAGTTTAAAATCGTAGACGACTGCACCTTGCGCGTTGCAGTCATCTTGGAAATGATGCGCGTAATATGCTACGTTGCGATTCGCCAACGCGTGGGAATAATTTCAATGTTAAAGCGCTTCGTTGCTTTTTCCGCGATGAAGTTGTTCCAACGACCTAGCCATCCAACTATTATCGTTGCCATCGAACACTATCTACAGTAAAGAGATTTCTACGACTTCTTTACTACATACGTACAGTATGTACAGTACCGGCCGAAAGTTTGGCTACACTTTTATTGCACTTGTATTTCATACTTTCGAGGCAACATATTGGATCAGTACATAGCAATTTTACTGAAACTCCTATGAATGATAGTTCTTGATGAAATACTTGATATAGTCCATCTTCAGAAGATCTACAGTTGTACGTACAAATTCAGATGAAAGTATATTAATATTTAGAATGTCCAAATTTTTAATACATTATTATATATAATAGATTATTAATCTAAACTTTTAATAGATAAAATACTTTTCCAACTCTTAATTTTAAGGATTCTAAGCGACCCTTTAATGTGGTTAACGAAGAAAAATATGTGTCAAATATTTTGTTGAGAATTACATAAGTTTCATCAAAATTTGCATGTATGAGTTTGTATAAGTTGCTCTGGTATCATTGGATTATGTAAATGATTATAATAACTTGGATCATACTTGAACTGATATAATGTAACTATATTATAGAACAGAGTATAACTTGAATTATTGTG